TGTTAAGTTTCTGATGAGGTAACAGAAAGCTGGCTAATTTGTGCAAATTAAGTAATTAATAAGCACAGAATTTATTCATAAACTAAACAGGCATGTGTAAAACCTAAGAGTAAATACTGGAAATACCTTTGGGACAGCAAATAATCCAATTAATGTAAATTAGGTGAGTGATATACAAAGATGTAACTCCAAATTAGTCATGTTAGTTTAGTACTAGTATTGTACACCCCATGTGTATCAACTGTGAGTGTATTATTATGCAAATTAGATATTTAATATTCGATCATGTGAATATTTATTAGTGTGCAAAAATTTCAACTTATTTAATAACACACATATTTACTATTTAAATGTTATTGCAATGTAATAATTTATCCACTTTGTTTAATTCGTGACTTGTTTGAATTTCACGAACATAACATTTAATAATGTTCAATCTTTCAGACTTGTTCAATTCCAGGCCGATGCACTTTTAAACATAATATTACATGTATAATGTGTGATCTTTTGGATTTATTTATTTGAAACAAACATACTTTTAAAATTTATTCAGACGTAATATAGTAATGCGAGATCTATCTGACTTATTTATTTAAGACAACATAATTTTTAAATTGTAGTTCATTTAATCATGCACGATCATATTTCAAACCTATATAATTTGAGACAAATATACTTTTAATATTGTAATGCGATCATCTTTCTGACTTTTGTAATTTGCAACAAAGTTACCTTTTAAATTTAAAGCGTAAAACTGTAATGCTAGATCTTTCCAATTTATTACATTTAAAATTATGGGTACATATTGAATTCTGACAAATTACTTTTTAAACTGTGTGAGCAGAGATCTACTAAGTATTTATATCATATTTTTTGAATCTAACAATTTCAGTCAGTAATAATTCATCACAATTAACAATTAAGGAAACTGATTGTAAAAAAAAATCTGACACTTACACTGGTTCTTATTTTCTTTAAATCATCATAGGTTAACATTGTAGCATCCTTCTTCCGCTGGTATATTTGTGGAAGGTGGATTTCAGCGACCTTTAACCTCTGATTCGTGGCTCCAAGGCGTGGAATATGTTCACTTGGTATACGCTTAGTTTTCTTGATGAGTAAATGTTGATTGTTCTACAGAAGCGAACACACATATAATGTAACTGCCTTATATAATGATCATTTCAGATAATTCTTCAGATGCTTATAGACTAGCATCTAGGAAGAATCTTGTAGTTGCTTGTATCTCTGATTTATGTACCAAATCTGAACAACAGCTGACTATTTATGACAGAGATCTGTGTCCCAAATGGCAGAAATGCTATATTTGATGCATTTTAACATTAAAATGGTCACTATTTGGCCATCCCTTCTTGAATATGAAAAACAAATGCATGTGCATATAATGTGTGACACAATGCATACATAAAATTTGATATGGTTCTGGAACAGCATTTGTTAAAACAAAATGGTCACCAGTCAGCCATTTTAAATTCGATCTTGATGTGCACTCACAATTGAATGAAAAATAAAGCCCTCATTATGTCCAATATATGTACCAAGTTTGAATAAAATCTAATCATATATGACTTCAGAGATTAAAATGTTGGCCATTTGGCCACCTTGAATTGAGTCTTGAAACTAAAGATTCAATATCTATGCTATCACATCACAACAGTATGTTATCACATCACAACAGTATGCTATCACATCACAACAGTATGCCAACACATCACAACAGTATGCTAACACATCACAACAGTATGCCAACACATCACACCAGTATGCTAACACATCACAACAGTATGCCAACACATCACAACAGTATGCCAACACATCACAACAGTATGCTAACACATCACACCAGTATGCCAACACATCACAACAGTATGCCAACACATCACACCAGTATACCAACACATCACACCAGTATGCTAACACATCACAACAGTATGCCAACACATCACACCAGTATGCCAACACATCACACCAGTATGCTAACACATCACAACAGTATGCTAACACATCACAACAGTATGCCAACACATCACAACAGTATGTTATCACATCACAACAGTATGCCAACACATCACAACAGTATGCTAACACATCACAACAGTATGCCAACACATCACAACAGTATGCTAACACATCACAACAGTATGCCAACACATCACAACAGTATGTTATCACATCACAACAGTATACCAACACATCACAACAGTATGC